CTTGAAACAAAAGCAAACAGGAATCCCTGTGTTTATTTCTGAAAAAAATAGACCTTAAGACAAAAGAGTTAAGAGACAATGATGGTCACAATAAAACAGCCAAGGGATCAGTGTAGCAGGACACAGTGATTATGAATATATATATATACATATACATACATACATACATACCCGATGTCACAGTGCCCCATTTTATAAAACAATGTACTGGACAGGGAAAGAGAGGCACCAATACGATAACAGCAAGGGACTTCAACAATCCACTTGACAGATCATCTAGATTCCCCCTCTCCCCCCAAAAATCAAAGAAACATCAGGGTTAAACTGTACTATACACCAAGTAGACAAGAGATTCCACAACACACCGCTGAACAGCTGAGCATGCCTATCTTTTCAGCTGTATATGGAATTTTCTCTAGGATAGACCATATATTTAGGCTACAAAACAACTCAAATAAATTTTAAAATACTGAAATAATATCCTGTATCTTTTCTGATCACAGTAGAGTAAAACCAGAAGTCAACAAAAGAAGTTTTTAAAATTGTACACGTGCATGGATACTGAGCAGGGTAGTTTTGAATGAACAAGAGGTCACTGAAGAAATCAAAAGGAAACTGGACAATGGAAAAATAATACCAAAACTTATAAGATCCAGCAAAGGAGTACTAAGGAACATTATAGCAATTAGTACCTATGGAAAAAAATTCAAATGATACCCCTCAAGGATTAGAAAGGCAAGAACAAACCCAACATCAGAATAAAAAATAAGACATCAGAGCAGAAATAAAAAATAGAAACTATAAAAAATACAAATGATCAATGAAACTGTTTCTTTGAAAAAAATAAAATTAACAAATTTTTAGCTAAACAGAAAAAAGAGAAAGCACCAAAAGTTAAAATCAGAGATGAAGGAGATACTGTTACTGATCCCACAGAAATACAAACTCACTAGGGATTATTATTTAGAAGAACTGGATACATTTCTAGACATATATGACCTTTCAAATGGCCTCTGAGGGCCTAAAAACTCAGATTAGACTAGTAACAAGTAATGAAGCAGCGAGAGTCTCCCAACATAGAAAAGTCCAGGACCAGATAGCTTCCTTGCTGAACTTTACCAAACATTGAACTGGCATTAGTTCTTCAGAACTACCTAAAGAACTGAAGGGCAGGAACACTTCCAAACTCATCTCTACAGCCAGCATTACCCTCTTACAAAAACCAGACAAGGATATAAGAAGAAAAAAGAAAAGTACACCAATGTCCCTGATGAACATAGATTTGAAAATTCTCAACAACACTAGCACATCAAGTACCGTGATCGCTTACCATGACCAAGCGGGTTTCATTTCAGGGATGCAGTGATGATCAATATATGGAAATCAGTAAATGTAATATATCATTTCAGTAGAACAAAGGATAAAGACAGGATCATCTCAAAAGATACAGAGAAGGCATCTAATAATACATTCCTTCATGATAACAAAAAAACCTTCCAATCATCAGGAATGAAAGTAATGTACCTCAACAATAAAGGCTGTCTACACCAAGCCCATGGCCAACCTCATGGAATGGGGAAAAGTTCCAAGCGTTTCCAGATCCTGATCAAGGCAAGCCTGGCCATTCTCACTGCTTTCATGCAATATAGTCCTACAAGTTGTAGCCATAGCAACTAGGCAAAAGAAATAAAAATGGGAAAGCAGAATGACAACTATCACCATTTACAGATGATTCTCTGTAAAGAATGACTTCAACAGTCCACCAGAAGGCTTTTAGAGCCAATAAATTCATGTAGTTGTAGGGTATAAAGTCAAGTTACGAAGCTCAGTAGTGTTTCTATACAGCAGTAACTAGTTTGGTGAGAAAAGAACATGAAATCAGTCCCACTCACAGTAGCTACCAAAAACAAGCCCCAAAAAATGCCTAGGGAAAATTTATACAAGAACTGAAAGACAGACAATGAAAGTTACCAAACACTGGAGAAATTGAAGACACAAAAAGATGGAAATACCTATGTTTATGGGCTAGAAAAATTAATATTTTCAATGTCCATACAACCCAAAGCAGTGCACAAATTTAATGTAATGACATTCTTTACAGAACTAGACAAAAAAAAAATATCCTTAAATTAATATGAAGTCATGGGGCCAGGTATTTGGCTCAGTGACTCCACCGCCTGCCTCACAAGCACAAGTTTGATTCCCAGTACCAAAAATTAACTAACTAAATAAATAAATATGAAGTTACAAATTGCCCCAAATAGTCAACACAACCATGCTGGATACATTACGACACCTAATTTCAAGACATACCACAGAGCCATAGTAACCAAAAACAGCATGGTACTGGCATAAAAACATTTGCATACACTGATGGAACAGAAGAGACACCCAGAAATAAGCCCATTTCTTAAAGGCGCTAATAACATACATTAGAGAAAAGAGCCTCTGTGATATGGTGCTGGGAAAACTGGATATCCATGTGCAAAAGACAAACTTGCCTCATCTCTGACTGTACACAAATCAACTCCCCCCACTCTGTGTGTGGGTGTGTATGTTAGATCAGAAAACTGGAAGGCCTGAAATTCTGAAATTATTGAAGGAAGATATACAGAAGACCCCTCAAGACATTGGTAAAGGGAGTGATTTTTTGGATAGGAGCCCAGAAACATGGGAAAGAAAAGCATAAATTGACAGGATTACATCAAACTAGAAAGCACCTGGCTTGGTGGAGGAGCCAGGGAAGCAGCCTACGTGAAGACAGCCTACCAGGTGGGAGACAAAAACTCACCCACTGACCCTCTACCACATCATTCATTTCCGGAATTACAAGGCTCTCAAAAACATACAAAACTAAGTTAAATTAAATTTTATTTATTTTTTATTGAGTTTATTGGTACATTTTAGGGATACAGTACAGTTACACTCATCATTGGGATCGTACCTTCAC